CATCACAGCAGTCAGAGAGCCGCCCGCAGCGCCGAGAAGTGCCCCATGATTCGCCGGCCGCCAGACGGCGGTGGTGGCGGTGAAAGGTCGTGATCGGATCGACTACTTCGACGACTAGCCAGCGAGAGTTTGTGTTCTGCTCTACTCCTCGTTTCAAAAAAAAAAAAGAAACTATATTTATAATAACATCCGGTCGTCTTTGTGTGTTCTGTTTGTAGGGACATTGTTACATGTTGTCGCATACGGCAAGCAAAATCTTAACTACCCCTTTCAGCGGATCTACTGTAAGACATAATAAATTTCATCTCGCAAAAAAAGAACATGAGAAGAAAATGAAATAGTTTCACGCAAGCTCCGACATTCAACAATCAACGTATAGCACTTGACTTTTTGAAATTTTTCAGTGAGTAATCTTTTTGGTTCCCTCTCAAAGAAGACGTGGGTTTTTCATATCCTCACCCCCCCCCCCGAAAGTTCCAATGCGAGAGGGAGGGAGTAGGGCTTAGCGGGCGCAAAACCAAACCGCGATATTAAACCCTCTGGGCAGCAGACAGGCTGCGAACAAGGGCGCTGGCAAACACTGAAAGTCAACAAAGAGTTTATAATATAGGCGCGCCCTTCTTTACTTGCCAACGTCAAATTGACGTCAACATTTTTTCTTCGCCTTAAACTTATAGCAGTCAGTTTTAACGTTACAGGGACCTCGTGAAAGTTGGCTTCACCCAGAAAAAACATATAAGGACAATTTTCTCTTTTTCCAAAGAAATTTCTTTTGGAGGACAAAAGTCCTTGAGTTAAAGACTTTCTCCAAATGAACACAAAATTTTCATTCCTTATTAAAGAAAGGAAAAGAATTTATTATGTTTAGTTTTGGTAAATTACGTTGATTCAAGGCTTATTTCAAGGGAATTCCCTCGTTTCGAGGAAACGATTTTCTGGGTGTATGGCCGAGAGCTCGACAGGACGGATGTGTGATATCAAACAGAAATGCAGGGGAGAACCACGAAACGTAACGTGTGCAGCCGAAAAACTAAAATAAATGAGGGATTCCAATATCAACACAGACTGGTGGACACCAATGGAATATGTAACTTGGGTAGTGAAGGTGTGCTGTCCAACAGGGTCAGCCAACAACAGGCTGGCCAACAGGCTGGCACCGCCTCCTGGAGCCCAGGACGGGTTGCCACGCGAGCTGTAGCTTCAACAGGTAGTAGACGGCGCGCCAGGGGGGACCCGCACCACCGCAAGGACGCCGTCAACAGGTCCCCGTCGAGGCCCTGCGCGCGACCAGAGCACCAGAGTGATTGATCGGGGCATCCAGCTTCGAGCCGACAGCAAGCCGACGTTGGGTCGACGTCTCGCTGACATTGATTTTTGCATATCCGCCACGCTCATACGGCGTATCTTTCCCTCTACAATGCACGGGTTTCTCCCCAGGAAAGTACACGTTTGTCTTTCTCGTATTCCCTCGCTTTCCGAGAGGAGGGCGCCTGCGAGACTCGGGGTAGGCCGCCCCGCAGTACTCGCACGCGCGGCGGGCGAGATGTTGCCTATCTACCAGGCGCTATGAGTGCGGACGGAGGTTGGATCTGGTTGGATGCATTCGACGGTGTGGTTATCCCGATAGGTGTTGACGACTGCAATAATAAGGTTTTTGTGTGTTGTTGTTCCGCTTCTTAATTGTTTGCTAACAACGCCTAGACAGCCTCCGAGCAAGAGGTATGCCTCGTTGGGAGCAAAAGCAGGCAGATAGACCCGCCCACGCGACGCTTTTGGGGACTAACCCAAGGGGTACTCGAAAATAATCAGTGTACACCCCAAAAAAAAAATCTGAAAAAATCTGGGAAAATATTTTTTTTAAATGGGAAAAAATCTGAAAAAAGAGAAAGAATTGGTGTACGCTTGCATAGAAGAGTGCACCCCTCGGACTAACCTGTGTGATCTCGCAGCCAGCTGCGGCAGCCGCAGCCCCTCGCCGCAGCCCAGGGCGGCCGAGGACGGCCTCAGCCGGAGCCACTCCTACAACGGGGCCGGCGGGGCCGGCGTCCAGCTCGAAGTGAAATATTGCAAGGGCTCTTTTCTGACGGTGCCAGGTACAGGTCGAGACAGAACCACCCAACCTGTCCTGTATTTGCCGACTCGTCGCACACCCCCCAGCATATACCCTCTGTGTAATGTTTTTTATGCTCTGGTATACTACCTCGCGCTGGTTCACACCCCCACGAAAAAAAATCTCGTCACTCGCACGTGGAGATGAAGTCATGAAGTCGCCTATTGATTTAATCGTGTGGTTTTACCTGGCGGTGATTTTTGTTTTGTTACTCCACGGCGTGACGCGTGACGGTATTTTTTCTTTGTCGGTGTATTTTTAGCTGTTTGGCGAAAACCTTCCACCCTCCAGTCCTATACATGCATGGGAGTCTGCTAACATCCATAGCCCCCGAGCGTGACACTGGGGCCAGGAGGGCTGTTCGCCCCCCTCTCATTGCTGAGCTTGCCCCCTGTACCCCCGGTCCTCTCCCCTCCCCCAGTACGCTCCCGCACGTGTGTGTTTCGTAGGCATCACCACATATACCTGTACAGAGTGTTCCTGTGTGTAGGCTAGCTTAGGCCGTCGTGGTGTGGCATGGGGTGCCGGGGAGGAACGGGTGGGGTGGCGCTTTTGTCACGACATCCCTGCACTCTTTGGGGTGAAACCCAGTATGTTCATGATTACAAAATATCATTCTTGTGTTGTTGTTTTTTAATCACATCCTCTCTGACGTTTTTGGAATGTCAATGCTCTTGCGTACAAATCCTGAGAGGCTGGCCCCATACTACGTGTCCCTTGTTCTGGACACTCTGCACTGACAAATTAAGTGTTCAACTGGTATTCAACTTGCAGTTGCACACTTGCAAGTATTTAACTTTACAGTTGCACACTTAGAAGTGTTAAGCAGTTAAACACTTAGTTTATCAGTGTGCCCCGGGCCCCGGGCCGAGGGCGAGGGGGGCGGCCAGCCCGCTGTCTGGGAGTGCGTGGGAAAGGTATTCCCCGCCAGCGCCCCCGGGGCTCGGGAAGAGGTAGCCCAGCCCCGCTGTCCCTGCCCTGCCGAGAGTCCGGGCCAAGGTCCAGGGGTCCGACCACAACCCCCGCCCCCCCAGCCCGAAGCAACAAACTCGGCTGGCTTGTAATAACCTCTGACGAAACGGGCGAGCATTGCGGAGAGGTGGGGGTGGGGAGTGGAGAGATAGCTGTCCGGGAAACTCTCCCGCTCGCCCCCTCTCCACCCCCCGCGCTTCCCTCGAGTAGCGCCGACTCTCCTCTTTCTGCGCCAAAGTAGTCCGGACGGAACTCTTTTGTTGGACCCACACAGCAAGTTTTACCCTCTCTCTCTCCACCCGGCGACTCAACCCGTTTTATTTATTGTCCCGATATCCTCAGTCCCTGTAAGCTGCGGTTCTCAAGCCTCCCTGGGCTGTCTGCTCGGCGCTCGTCTAAACAGCGCCGAGGTGAAGCGTCCGGCGGTGTTTCCAGTGTGCGATACACAGTAGGAAACCTGGGGTTTACTGGGAAATATAAAGCAATCATCATATTGGATATTTTTTTTTAGTTTAGTTTCTAATCCTTCTTTTATTTTTTTCTGTACAGTTTTCTTTTGTTCTTCTTTTTTTTTGTTCGCCCATTTTTTTCTAGTTTACAATTATATTTAGTTGTTATCATTTTTTATTTTTGTTTCTTTTTCCCTCATTTTTTTCCCTCCTGTAGAGAAGAGAAAAGCACTGAAAGCCGCTAGACTCCGTGGTGAGTACGAAGGGTGGGTCCCCCTGGGGGAGGTGTCCGTGCGTCTAACACCGCTGAGGGTGACGGTGCGCTCCTAACTCCTTGTTGCTTCTGTCGCGCGCACGGCTGGGTGGGAGTTTCAAACACCAGAGGGGGCCGCAGAGGCTGGTAAAATTCAAAGTGTGTGCGTCTCTCATTTGTTTTTCACGGACTCCCCCACACCGGCCGCTATTTGCCGAAGGTACACGAAAGGGTAACGAGTTTCATCATATTGGCGCCCAAGTCGACCGATCGGAATATCAATCAGAGTTTTCGTCTAATATCTCGTCACACGCAAACAAAGTGTGTTTTCTAGAAATATGTTTGCTGTTTCAGACATACTTGAAAATTTTTCAGCAACAGTGTTATTGCTCCTCCAAATGAATTATTTTTCTACTCAAGTAGCATTATTTTTTTGCTGCATATGTGCCTGTTGACATTTTTTCTCTAACAAATACAATTACTACGAAAAGAATACATCTAATTTTTTAGCAGTTTTAGCAAACGTCATTTTTTTCCCGTGCACTTTGTCGCCGGTATGATATGAACACCGTTCCGTGTTGTTTGGGCTCGTGATTGGTTTTGGTCCTCTACAACACAGTGTATGCCCCGACGAGCTTTCGGCTTGGAGCACCCCTTGCATGAGTGTGTGTGTGTTTGTGTTCCCCACAGTTGACGAGCAGCTGTCCACTGCGCCAAACCTCCTGGGCTCCGGGCTCATTAACAAACCTTCCGATGTGGGCCGGTACCTCTCCATCCCCGGTGGCGGTACTAAACTCCTTTCATTTTACCACTTTGAAAGCTTTACGATACTTTCTTATTTTTTTCCACTTTTTTTAAAAAGTGATTTTTTTAAAAATCTTTGTAAGATCGCTGATTATTTTTATTTTTTTTAGTCCAAGTTGTAGTTGTTGCTGCCGTCATCACGACCCTTTTGCATGTTTGTCGCCCATTTGTGTTGTTGCACTCGCCGATCCTCGGCGAGGTGGTGTTGTTGCATGGCTTCCCTACACTGAAACGCATGTATTTGTCGTTGATTTTCCTGCTGTGTATTTTTGGACGCTTTGGATCAGCGGTTTTTTTTTGTGTGTGTGTTTTCATTCAGAAAGTCTTTCTACACTTCTTCTACCTTCTCGTTTCGTCTATTATTTGTCTGTGTAATTTTGAACGTTCAAAATTTAATGTAGTGAAT